TAAAAACTGTAGTGTAAATTACCCTTCTGGCAAGACAGTGATGGAGTGAATGATGGTGAAAGTTTTTCTTTTTCGGGCCACCCTGCCTTGGTGGGAATCGGCCAGTGTGATAATAAATAAAATAAATAAGTTTACTGAGTATTCCAGGAAAAGTATACGGTAGGGTTATAATTGAAAGAATTAGAGGCAAGACAGAATGTAGGATTGTGGATGAGCAAGGAGGTTTCAGAGTAGGTATGGGATGTGTAGATCAAGTGTTTACATTGAAGCATATATATGAACAGTATTTAGATAAAGGTAGGGAAGTTTTTATTGCATTTATGGATTTAGAAAAGGCATATGATAGTGGATAGGGGAGCAATGTGGCAGATTTTGCATGTATATGGAATAGGTGGTAAGTTACTAAATGCTGTAAAGAGTTTTTATGAAGATAGTGAGGCTCAGGTTAGTGTGTGTAGAAGAGAGGGAAACTACTTCCCGGTAAAAGTAGGTCTTAGACAGGGATGTGTAATGTCACCATGGTTGTTTAATATATTTATAGATGGGGTTGTAAAAGAAGTAAATGCTAGGGTGCTCAGAAGAGGGGTGGGATTAAATTATGGGGAATCAAATACAAATTGAGAATTGACACAGTTGCTTTTTGCTGATGATACTGTGCTTATGGGAGATTCTAAAGAAAAATTGCAAAGGTTAGTTGATGAGTTTGGGAGTGTGTGTAAAGGTAGAAAGTTGAAAGTGAACATAGAAAAGAGTAAGGTGATGAGGGTATCAAATGATTTAGATTAAGAAAAATTGAATATCAAATTGGGGAGGAGGAGTATGGAAGAAGTGAATGTTTTCAGATACTTGGGAGTTGATGTGTCGGCGGATGGATTTATGAAGCATGAGGTTAATCACAGAATTGATGAGGGAAAAAAGGTGAGTGGTGCGTTGAGGTTTATGTGGAGACAAAAAATATTATCTATGGAGGCAAAGAAGGGAATGTATGAAAGTATAGTAGTACCAACACTCTTATATGGGTGTGAAGTTTGGGTTGTCAATGCAGCAGCAAGGAGGCGGTTAGAGACAGTGGAGATGTCCTGTCTAAGGGCAATGTGTGGTGTAAATATTATGCAGAAAATTCGGAGTGTGGAAATTAGAAGGTGTGGAGTTAATAAAAGTATTAGTCAGAGGACTGAAGAGGGGTTGTTGAGGTGGTTTGGTCATTTAGAGAGAATGGATCAAAGTAGAATGACATGGAGAGCATTTAAATCTGTAGGGGAAGGAAGGCAGGGAAGGGTCGTCCTCGAAAAGGTTGGAAGGAAGGGGTAAGGGAGGTTTTGTGGGCGAGGGGCTTGGACTTCCAGCAGGCGTGCGTGAGCGTGTTCAATAGGATTCAGGGAAACCGGTTATTTTTATACAGCCGGACTTGAGTCCTGGAAATGGGAAGTACAATGCCTGCACTCTAAAGGGGGGGGTTGGGGTTTATTGACGGTTTGGGGGGAAATATGTTGTGTAATCTTTACAGAAATTCAAAAACTGTTTGTTCGGGAGAAACCTCTGAAAAAAACATTGATTATTTTGTGAGTGAGGGGGGAAAGGTTGAATGATGATAAAAGTATTTTTCTTTTTGGGGATTTTCTTTTTTTTTGGGGTTTCCCCCCTGCCTCGGTGGGGGGACCCCCCCGACTTTTTTAAATTATATATATATATATAAAATAAAAATTTTTATATAAATTTTATTTTATATATATATATATATTTAAATATATATATATAAATTATATATATATTATATATATTATTTATATATATATTTTATATATTATATTTTTTATATAGTTTTATATATATTTTGTATATTTTATATATTACATATTTTAATATAGTATGTAGCTGTTGCGCTTGGTTCTTTTTGAATCGCGGGCCCCCGTGGAAACGGGGAGCGGGGCATTTTTTGCTGTCTCTGGAGGCGGTAAAAGGTTTATGGGTTCGTTTCCCGGGCCCCTCCCGGTTTTTGGGTTTAAGTTTAAAAAATCACTTGTTTGTGTTTTTCTTTGATGAAAATTAAATATTTTAATATTTTAAAATTTATAAAATATAAAAATACATATAAATATATTTTGTGAAAACCCAACAGGGTTTTACATGGGCCAGTTGCGGCGGGACATCATCGTAAATTATCCCGGGAAAATTACAGAGTTGTAAACAATGCTCTGCATAAAACCCTTTGTTTTCTGTATCAGCGAAAGTGGAGTGTGCATTTTGGGGGTTTTTTGGGGGGAGAAAGTGGTGGTGAGGGGGGTTTGCTGCCAGCGGTGGTGTGGGGAGGTTTTGTTTCCCTCTGCGTTCGGGGGGTTTTGGGGGGTTTGGGGGGAGGAAGTGGCCACTCAGGGACATTTTGCCATTGGTTTGCTGAACAGAAGATCACCTGGGTTTTTAAAAGTGAGAGTTTGGGTGATTAGTGGCCATTTTCCCGGGGGGTTTTTTCTGAAGGGGAATAAGTGTAAAACAATTAGCAAAATTTAGTCAGGGGATGTGCATCTTTAGCAAAAACAAAAGGGGCCCCACTCCCCCCGCCCCCAATCCAGGGGTTCCCCCCCCCTCACCCCGTAAGGCGAAAAAGGCCTTATATTATATATATATATTTTAATATATATATATATAAAATATATATTTAATATATATATAAAATATATTATTATTTTTATTTTTATAAATTTTTGTCGTCCCGAATATTTTAAAACGGGTCAATTAGCAAGAATAAATTAAAATTAAGCTTTTTAAAAATTTTTCTTTAAAAGTTTAAAATATATTTTTTTTCATTTTTGTTAATGTAAAAAAAAAAGATTTTTCCCAAAAGAATCTTAGAAAACTTACCTAAAATTTTATTAAAAAGAGCAATTTATTTTAGCCCATCCCAATAAAAAATATTTTAGATTTGTTTACGTAATTAAATACTAAACAAACCAGTTGAAATTATTTTTTTCGTTTGGTTCACAATTTTATTTTGGCGAAATTATTGCATTCACCAAAATTTTTGCTTTTTCTTTTATGGCAAAAAAAAAAAAGGCACAATTTCCGTGACTGGAACGGGTACACAAAAAACCCGCAAATAAAAGAGAGAAGCTTAAGGGCGACGTTTTGGTCCCACTTGGGCCATTGAAAAGTCACCCCTTGGACCATTGGGCAAAGTGTGGGCTTTGTTAATGGTCCAAGTCGGACCCAAAAAAACGCCCCAAATTCTCTTTTATATGGAAAAATGAGCGTTTGCTATTTAAGCCCAAAATTCGGGAAGTTCTTTCCTATTCGGCAACCCAAATTTTAAAATATAGAAGGGGTTTTTTAGGGGCACTCAGTTTGGTAAAAAAAAATGATAATCTCCTCCCCTTCTTTTCGCTTGACGTCCTTTTTTCTACAAAACCTCTTCCCGACAAACATAAGGGCTGGGCATTAGTGTTTCCAATCAGCAAGGGCTTGAACCCTTTTGTGGGGAAACACTGAAACACAGAAAAACTGAATGCCACGCCAATATAATCCTCCAAAAAACCTCACTGAAACGTTATTCCTTTAAAAGAGGTCTCTTACGCCCTCATATTTTTTGTTATTTATAAACCCGCAGAGGACAGTTCAAAGGAAAAAATTTAACAGGCAACCCTGCTATTCATTTCGAGAGGGGGGACCAATGACGAATGAGATTTTCGATGTCGTTATCTACAAATGAATAATATCTAAAAAATTTATAATCTACAAAAAAGCCCAAAAAAACAAAAATGACTTACCTTTTTTTAAAATTTTCTTTAGTCAGGGAGCATCAGTGTTCCCTGAAAAATTTCCCCTAAATCTGCCCCGCCCAAAAATTTCTTGGGTTTAAAGCTTCGACATAAAAACCAATACCCCACCAAAAAAAAATTTCCTTACTTTTTTTCACCCCAAAAAATGCCCAAAAAAAAATACTTCGCACATCAACTCTACAATTACTGAAAACACTTTGTACAAAGTTTTTTACCTTCCCAAAATTGAACTTTTCCTAAAAAAAGTATTCGCACGAGTTAACACCAGAGTCAAAATAGCCTCCAGCCCCCTCATGACAGACCTCACCAGGACCAAAACGGCAAACCTTAAACCAGCCGATTATGGGGTTTACATTATCCCATGTAGAGACCGAGATAAACTGCGCAAAACCTAGTGACGAGAGATGCGAAAACCTGAACAACTTTTTTTTAAAACTCCCAAACTTCACTAGTCACTTTATTAGATGGAATGAAGTTTGCTTAGGGTTTAATTAATGAACCGATCACCCACAGACACAAATGTCTAAATAAACCATTAATATCTATTTCAAACATATTTACACAGAACAAAGAAAGAAATAGGTAGACATATTAACAACAACCCTCCAAAAAACTACAAATCCAACCATCACCTTATCAAAACAAACCACTTAATCTACTGTTGCTGATGCTGCTGTTGCTGCTGCTGCTGTTGTTGTTTCCAGATAAGAGATCAGTGCTACCTGTTCTGCTTCTGTTCCTACCACCACATAAGAAAACATCGCTTCTTTTTCTCCTTTATTGTTTTCCTTTCATCTTCTTCTTTTTCTTCTTCTTGACTTAGCTCAATTTTTCCATGTTCTCCTTATATAACCTCCTTACTCATGTATAGTGTGTATTGAACTGATAAACTTCAGAAGAGCGAAACGTAACCTTAATGATGTCTCATTACTTGCTCTTGTTTCGTTATATATTACATTATATTGAGTTATGTAATATTATACATTAAACACTGAGCCTCACTATCTAGGTACTTATCAACACATTTACATGAGCTCGCATCTTTACTAATGGTAAGTCAACACTGCAGTAATGATGCTTCATTTGTGTCTCCTTCAGGTGAGTATTATTGTTAGTTTTGCTATCTTATGTGAAGTGCTTAACTGTAGTTAATATAGAATTTGTGAAGGGTTGATTCTCCATCCACTAAGAGCGATACATACTACATAGTCATATATTCTCCATCAGGCGTTGTGTGACATGGGCCAAGAGCCAGGAAGCTATGAAGGAGGATGGACGCTGGTCTTGTGGCACTCCACCCAGTCATCTGATGACCTTCAGTTAAACCTGTCATCCTACACTGAGGGCTATGGCCAGCCCAATATTAACGCCCCAAAATCATATTTTATTGGTAGGTACTCTGTTATCTCAGTCACTCACCTACAAAATGCAGTGTGGGACGTGTAATCTTGTTTGAAATTTATGAGCGGGAATTAGGTATCTGATAAACAATTTCCTACAATGGTAGTCAGATTTGTTTTTTTTTCCTTAAACGTTTTCGAGAGATAACTTAAGAACTTCTCTTTTTTATCTACTTCAAATTTTCAACATTGGAGTCTCTTACTTGGATGAAGATTTGTATTGACACTGAGCTGTGTAGGTGACAAACTGCTAATTTTCTGTTTAAAAATAGTGCAGAGATTTTCAAGCAATAACGTGAGAAAACACTTTCTGACTGGCGTCAAACTTACAGCTCGAGTTTATTTTGCTCAAAGAAAAGATCATTGTTATTGGGCTGTGCACTTTGCACTCTAACAGTTTTAATAAACACATTGAGCAATAACCAGAGAAAGGTTGGGATTGTTTGTATTCTTTGCAGATGCTAATATGCCGACTTTGTTGAATATATTGGGATCTTGATTTCAATGCAATAACTAGCAAACTACCTCTTAAGAACTATCTTATTCAGAGGAAACAGCTAGTTGTTAATTGGTATTGAATTATGTAAAAGCCAGTTTGCCAACTTAATTTTTAATAACTATTTCTTGGTCAAAACTTATTATTTTTAAGATAGGCTAGGATAATTCATTATATATTTGTTTGTGAGAAACGTAAATTCTTACACCTCAGAAAAGTGCAACTCTACAGCCTTTGGATTGGGGCATTATACCTCTTTGATTGAATATTAAAGTTTTCCAGCATGCATTGGTCAATGCAGTCTTATTGGGCGGAGAGAGAGAGAGAGAGAGAGAGAGAGAAGAGAGAGAGAGAGAGAGAGAGAGAGAGAGAGCATGTGCAATGTACAGACCTCAGTGGCAACATGCAGACCCCATCAACTTCTTATAGAAAATGTGGACTTCCTTCTGCAACGTGAATGTCAACTTACAATAATTGTTCGTGATCTCAACCAACTTTGATGACTTTCTTGCAGTGTTTGACATGAGAAACTTTCATTCATTTCCTTATTCACATCTCTGGCTTCTCTCTCGACTCAGTAATGAGTGTTCTACAGGAAGGCATAGTCACTACCAACCTTTTGGTTATGTTGGATCATGTTACCACAAGGCTGTCTTTACGACACTGAAGATTTCAACAGAAGGAGGTAAAAAATCTGGCTTAGGGAAGAGGAAACCAGCCAGCCCTTTGCTCTAAACTCGCCACCTCCTATTGGCATTCTCTTCATTAAGGTGATGTTGACAGCCAAGTAAATGCCTTCACTGAACACAGCCATAATCTCCAACAAGAACACATCCCTTACCGGCAGCATGAGACGAAGCCTACATATCAGCCTTGGTTCGGCTTTCTTTATCGAGAGGCTGCTGATGTTGCTAAGTACATGGCTTGGATAAAGTATAAGAGGCATCCCACTATCTATAACAGGAACCTGTACAGGTAAGCATATTGTCAAATGGGAGAAGTCCAAAAGCGGGCCATCTGTAGATGGGAGGCTGAAACAAAAAGAAAGCAGGCATCCGGTAGAGTGGGCTTGAGAACTGTGTTGGTTCATGGCCAAAACCGACATAGTCATGCACTTGATTTAATTATTCGACCTCTGTATCGGCAGGAAGGAACCAGTCAGGAGAAAACTGACCTTTTTGCCGAACACTTTGCTGCCACGATGCAAGTTCCTGATCCAGCAAGGGAACTCTCCATGAATAGCCGCAAGGCTGTGTCAGTGGTGACAATAAGACAGGATGAAGTGTATCTTCTTAAATAGCTGGACCAAGAAAAGGCTGTGGGCCCAGATAAGTTGAGCCCAAGATTCCTGACCAGTGTCACTCCTGTCAATCACTGGCAAGATCCTTGAGACAATAATCTCAAGACAAATGGCAGAGTTTTTCGACTACAACTCGTATCTTGTGACCGTCAAATTGCTTCAGAAAGTTAACTCTACTGCTGATATGCTGTTAAACTTCTCCGCAAAGTGGAGAGGTTTAACTGTGTAGTAGCACTGGACATTGCTGGTACTTTCGACCGAGTATGGCACCAGGGATTGTTGACATAACTGCAAGCGCTTGAAATCGCAATCTCTACACTGTGACTTCTCAGTGATTATCTTCAGGGTAATATCTAGCGTAGTTTTCAACGAGACATAGTTAGCAGGACATCCTATTGATGCAAGTGCTTGGGCCAGTGTTATGGAATGTCTTATTCAATGACTTTCTTCATCTAATACCAGAAAATCAGGTACATGCAGACGGCTGTACCCGGACGTTTACTTATCCAAGAGAGGAAGTGCCAACTGCTCTAAGTTACATCATTCGCCAGCTTACATCTATATCAGCCTGGAGAAAACGCTGGTAGGTCACATTTGCTACTGAGAAAATGCAAATGATGATTATCTTCTCTGGGCACTATGATGGTAATGCTGGGGCAGTGGTAAGAATGAATGGAAGAGTGTTCATACCTGGGGTCGAATTTGATATCCTTGGGGTGAAATCTGGCTCCAAACTAACCATGAAGAACCACGATGTAAATACTGCAAACAAAGCTGCCAAGAAGCTTATAGCACCTCGACCTCTACTGTCGAGCAGTGGAGGTTGCAAGATTCTGTACTAGGCACAGGTAGGTTCACACTTTAAGTATGCTCCACTTTCTTGAATTTCCTGCCGTCTGTTTCATCTGCGACTTCATGATAGAATGGAGAAGAGAGCAAGACGGATCATCTCTCGCCTGGGTCCAATCTGGATAGTTTTGTTATTTCAGTAGAGCCTTCAACATAGCAGGGACGTGGATGACCTAATTGTTTTGTACAAGGTTAATATTGTCAAAGTACCACACTTGGCTCCACCCGAGGGCAGTGAGAAGTGAGTTTCTATACAAGACGGGCAGCAAGCAACAAATACACTCTGAGATAATTTATTCTTAGGATGACTCGAGTCTGGAACATATTTGTACAGCATAATGACATCCACGAAATAAAGTCATTTGACCATGTAAAATTCCTGGCCCACAGATGTCTTCAATTTCATCATTTTATCTATTTGTATGTCTCATAGTAATAACAGGTTCTTAAATGATCTGAGGTAGGAAGCAGCTCTTAGCATGTAAATTGAGTTAGGAACTCTTAAACTAACCCTATGAAACCCTTGTGTAAATAAGAGTGAGAACCATAGAGAGAGAGAGAGAGAGAGAGAGAGAGAGAGAGAGAGAGGAGAGAGAGAGACGAGAGAGAGAAGATGACAAGACAGAGGGCAGATGGACAAAGACAGAGATGGCAGAAGATGAGCAGATGACAGACAGACAGATGGAGAGAGAGTCACTGACTTTAATCGAACGACTGACTAAATTGCGTATTTAATGACCAAAAACATTAACATGGAACGTAGTTTACTTTATGTATGGTATAATGCTTGTTCAGGACCATTGTATCATTAAGACTTGTGAGACTAAGTAAACTAAGTGTTTACTCTATAGGACTCCAGTACCTGGCAGCTCTCAACTGGAACAGTAATACAGTACGACCTCTTGTTATGAAGGTAAGTTACCTCAGGTATTTCTTGCTCACAATTTATAAAATAAGATATTTTTAAATTTATTTAAGTTGGCTGGATATACATAGTAACATATGTAAATATGTACATATGTAAATATGTATATCTGCATGTAAACAGATTGAATTAGTAAGCGTTAAGTGAATAACAAGACTGAGAAGATCAGATAATAGAGACAGAGAGGCTAGAAATTAAATAATGCAGCTTTCCAGTGATAAACAATATTCTGCATTACACGCATTTAGGAATCACTCAATGACTCCATGTCACTGCCTAACATCACAGTTATTTCATTTTTGTAATAAATTACAATTTCTCTAGGTATCTTCTCTCTACTGATCGACCTTGATCGTGGAACACATTTTTAGTATATGTAATGCATAGAATTTTTCTCCATTTCGTCATAGATTTTTATAATTGCTAAGATGCATTTAGAGATCCTCTGAGAACTTATAAATAATAATGTTTTAAAATACCATTTAACCAAATGCTGGTTAATTTTAACAAGGTAATTACACCATTTATTAGTAGTGATGTTTTATTCTTTAATATTCATTGTTAATTAATTTTTATCATTTTTTTTCCCTGTGTGAATGAGAGCTGAATTACTTACATGAGTCAAATCGTAGGTCAAGTAAATAATTAAAATTACCTGGATGAACCTTCCCCAATAAGAAAAAATTAACATTCTAGTAATTGGAAACAAATATAATTATTCTTTATCAAGGTTACAGAGACATGAAGGAATTTTAGGACAACCTAGGTCGCAAAAAATGTGCCCTTCGATTCCAACAACGCTCATATCTCACAATCACTCTGGACTCTGGGACCATATTAATTTCAATGAATACAGATCACCAGAAATTCTTGTAATCTTAATATAAATATGTGAACGGTATGTTAAAATTTAGTTAATGAATTTATATTAATACCACTCTCCAATTTGTCTGGAGATTACTTGGTTACACATAAACCCCTCTAAAAATATGAAAAAATACTGCAGAAATTCACATAAATATTGACATGACTTAACCAGGGGTCACGGGATTGTCCTGTCCACTCGCTGGGCCTTCTCACTTCTGCAGGACTGCAATTCCACATTTTCTGTTCCTATTAGAGAGGTTTCAACCACAATTTAAAACCTCCATGAGCGTCGAAATTTATTCACGTTACACTAGCGAGGACTTTGCCCATTCATACATTCCCAAAACAATGGCTCGCCTTCCCAATCGACGCTAACACTGTTGCTGGTTCCTTTTTTATTTACAAATTATTTTTTTAATTACACAGATATTTCCACTAATTTACATAGCAAAATACACTGTATTTTTGGAAAACACACAGTATTTTTCCAAACTGCGGCCGGGGCGGAATCGTTTTGCTAAACAACTCAAATTGCTACACTTCCTCTAGGAGATGATTCCAGCCAGTTCTGGATTGAGTGTCTGTTTTCCTAGTAGTCTTACCACAATTTCATCTTCCTTGCATTGCTTGGTGAACACAAACTTCCAATATCAGATGGTTCAATAATTCGTGGCAACTTTTCCTCTAAGAATCCAAAGGATCAATTTATTAATCGACGCGTAAACTTCATGGCCACGACACAACACTCTGACATTCCCCCCCCGGACAACACCTGTGCATCGTGGATACTAATATCAATACTTTCCCAGAGGCACACCATGTTTGATGCTTTTCAGTATCAATCAAATATCACACTCGTTTGAATGTTCTGCAGAATTACTGCCCTCTGTCGCACCATAAGAGTGGTTCATATAGTGTAAGAAGATATTCCTTACTCCACACATTACAAACCAATGACACTTACTTTATTAACATCTAAATTTTATCCACATACATCACAGCCGCAACGATTGTAATCTTCATCACTTTCTTCAGGTTATCCTATAGACAGGGGCACTGTCCAATTCCTTTCCATCATATTAGGTGAGAAGGAGTTAATGCATCTGCATCAGGTGTATCACTCCATGTATGAGAGAGCCGATTATTTATCCGATTCTCTGCCTCCACCAACAATTCATGGAATTTCCTCAAATTAATTCTCTTCCTGTGTAGTACTTTTGGAACACCACTGTGCCTATCAATCTTACGTACAGCCCCTCCCTCCCTGCCAAGGGCTCTGAGAGGTAATAAATTTCCATGTACAAACCCTCGTATGGGTTATCAGAGATTGAACATCAATACTCTTATTTTAATTCTATCAAATGTTCAGCACCACGCTACAAAATTGGGTGGCATATCCGAAATCATCAATCTCGGACTGATCTCCTAGCTGCAAATTTCGAAACAGCTGTAAAACTGTAATCTGCAGACAAGTCCTGAGCCACTTCAAAATGAACTGGCCCTATAGCAATGCAAGTGAACAAGTATACATCCACTTACCAGTGGAACATCACTGAATACCTGTTAAAATGATTGGACTACTATAGTCGACACCTGTTACATCAAATGGTTTCACATAATTGTACACGCTCCATTGGCAATGGTGGACGACCTGGATACATATAGGATCTGGCATCCACACGGCAACATAACACAAGATTTAATAACCCTTCTTAAACTTTGGCCGTTCCTTGTGGCATCCAGAAAGTATTCCCTATACAAATTTAAAGGGTAATCCAGTACGCCCACCATGCAATACATTTTATGGGCATTTAAATCAATCAAAATTGTTAGTTGATGAGTTTTGGGCAGTAAGATAGGGTGATTTCGCATAATCCACCCAATTCAGCATTTGTAACCTACCTCTGCACCTAATTACATTGTTCTCTTAAATACAGCCCACAATTTTCTCTATTATGGAAACCCTTCAACAATTTTTCTTACCATCATCATATGTAATTTCATATCCATAGATTTTCTTCCTGTACCCTCTTTATCCAATACTCAAGAGGATGTAAAAATTGTAAGAGACATTCATTTTGTTTAGAATTCAAACGCAACTTAGTACATTTATTAGATGGTAAAGAAGAAAACCTATTTATATCAGTTGCTAAGGAAGGACAAACTATTGAAGCGTGTCAAAGTAATTTCACAGGAGCTAAAGCCTTTTGTATAGGCCAATTAACTATTTACCAATCAGATTGGTCCTTTTAAACCATGATACGAATAACGAATTTAGCATAAGGTAAACCTCAAGACAAGAAATCACTGGATTCTCCTCACCAGGTATCTGATAAATGTTAACATATGCTCACCCAAACCTATTAAATTCTCATTGCATCAGACATTAATATTCAGCGACTCTGTTTTTTTACATACACATTTACTAATTTCCATACGAACCATTGTAAGGATACCTCATTATCAGACAAATTCACAGTGTCGCTAATATTTATCTTCCTGCAACTTAATTCTTTTTATATAATTAGCTAATTTGACCACCTACATAAATGGCTGTTAATTTTCCAAATTAGGTAAGGTAACATGATTTAATTGGAGACACTTTTGGCTTTAGACATAAGAGAAATAACACTATTACAATGAAGGGTAAGCGACTGCTCCATAAGCCAAAATTTGAACAGCATTGCAAAAAATGTGGAGTATATATTCCATCTGGATTTGGCCCCCTGGTGTGGGAACTCCAACATTGGAATTTTTTTCATAATCAACCAATTAATTCTTCCCACCTGTTAATGAAATTCCTGAAAAAAAGGTAGGAGTTCATCCCAAGCACATTTAAAAAGCTTTCCATGCTTCTGGATTAACAATTTTCCCTCATAGAGTAAGGGTGACACTAAGCTAGTGGATCAAAAAACATTGGAAACTTCAGCTAGCAAGACTCACTTGGTTAACTTAATGTGCACACTGTAATTATTAGGTTTAAACATAAACAAGTCCTTGGTCAGTATTCCCCAAGATAATCCAAATACATTACATACATTTGGTACTTTCATCTCCAGGGTAATCTTTAATTTATTTTGTCCTTTAATTTGGACGAATTACTATTCCATTCCCTAAGGCATATTTTGCACTTGCATTAATTTTTATAGCCCTCTCATATGTCTCAACAGTTCCCCTCCTTCAGTTTTGACGTCACACCAGGCAATTGTCCCACATAAAATTGTTTACTCATTGGCTCTAGCTCAATGGACTTCCCGTTCACTTAAGGTGTGCAGTTGAACTACGCCGCTTGAAGTAGGAACGGACTGATGTAGCACCAAATAAAACGCTCCTAAATGAAAGGTTTTCAAGAGGGCTATGTGATCAATAGGATTTTCTCAGGCCATAAGAATGCGGGTACAATCCGGTCAGCCTCTGTAAAAACCCCTCATTGGAAAGCTTTACTTAATGACAGCCATAAAGCTGCATAATTCTTCACCCTGAATGGGGAGGAATAAGATAATCTCCTGAATTGTGCCGTCAAGGGCGTGGAGCGGACCGCTGGGCTCATCTATACTGTGCGAGGTTAAATCTAGGGTAAGCATTTTTTGTACTCCTGGGCAGCTACGAATGGAAAATCCATATCAGATCGATGAGTGTGGGCCTTAGAAAGTACTTCTCACGCGGCGTGAGTGCTTACAATGACCTGAAATTTTGGGCTTTGCATGGGGTGGGGGTCATACTCTATAAATTGTGTTGGTTTTTATCTGGTTAATATTGTAGGGTCATTAAAGGCAGTCAACAATTCTGGTGTCCTTACTCATTTCACGAGCTTGAGTCTTAATTGTCCATATGCCATCTTAATTAATTGGGAAATTCCCTGGATGGCTTCATCTCCACGGAAGTCGAGCACCCAGTATTGGCCAGATACAAAGTTTATCGTTTCCCATGTACTTGCTCCTGAGTAAAAAATAATTTCTGGAGACTTACCTCATTTAACATTAATTCCAATGCTGTCTATTTCCCACAGTTTATGGCACTGGCTCAACCCCATCCTCTATGAAAGAATTATACTGGGGTACGACTTCATGATAAACACACCGGATGGTAATTTATAGTTTACCTCTAGTCATGCATTATTA